CGAGGAGCTGGTCGGGGGGCTCTGCCTGCCTGATGTGTACCGCACAGCTTCTGACCTCGTTAATGCGTAGAAATATCTCAAAGGCGTGTCAGAGGATGGTGCCAGACTCTTTCCAGTGATGCCCGGCGACGGAATGAGAAGCAATGGCCATAAATTAAAACACGAGTTTCACCTCAACACCTCAACTTCTTTACGTGCAGGGTGGCAGAGCACTGGAACAGCTGCCCAGGGAGGTCGTGGAGTTTCCCTCCCTGGAGACATTCAAACTCACCTGGACACGTTCCTGTGTCACCTGCTCCAGATGACCCGGCCTTGGCAGGGAGATGGACTGGATGATCTCCAGAAGTCTCTTCCAACCCCAACAATTCTGTGATTCTGTTTCCAAAGCCACCACTAAGTTAAAAGGGTGCACAGATTAGTTTGTTGACTCCAAACACTCAGCCAAAACTCTTCCTGCTGCTCACACGTGCCATACAGTGAGGGAAGGTTTGACATCACACTTGGGCTGTAATCAGTGTCCAGGAGGCCTAAGGCCTGTATAGAACTTAACAGCTTTCTGCAGGAAGAGAAGACTTTTGTGCACACATCAGTGCTGTGACCAAAAAGCGAGGAGTGCCAAAAAACCTATTGATAGACACCAATAAAAAGGCAATTTCGGGGTGCTGAATGTGCTCAGCTGTGTCGCCCAATAGCCAAGCCAAGTTCAGGTCAGTGTTCGGGGTTGTGCCAGGTGCCTAGAATGGCTGGCAGGTACTTAGTGGCTTCCTTTGGCCCTAGATTTTTTTCTAGAACTAGATGACTGAACTCTTTGCATGAAGGTCTAGTACAAATTGCAAGTTCTTCATTTCTCATTCTGATAGAAAACTTGTTCCATTTTAAAGCTAGGGGAGTTGGTAAGTGACCAACCCAACCCCACACAGTTCAAGTATAACTTCCCATTCCTTGTCCAGTTCATACCAGCAGCCCTAAGTATGGCAGATGAACTAACAGAACCCAAAAGCCAGGATGACACCTCTCAAACCCTCCCTTTCTTGCCCAATATGTGCTTTACTTGTCTGCAGTGTAAGACTGCAATGTCTGACTAGGTCAGTTCCTTTCTTGTCATTTCTTAAGGAAAAGATGGGGCCTCTAAGGGATGAGCAGGGTCAGGGGTTCATTGCAGGGCTGTATGTGGAAATTCATGAGTCATCCTTCAGTCCCATTTCCAGTTCAAGCAAGAGCATGCATGAGAATCATGCAGTGCTGAACTTGCCCTCAGACATTCTTAAGCAAGCCACAACTGTAGCTCTATCCAGCTTGTCCTTCACCATGCCCTGAATGCTGCTGACTGCTTGTGTGCAGCATGCTTCCAGATCTCCCAAGGCATTAATTGCCAAAATGAAACAACCTAGAAGATGCTAACCAGAGGAAGCATCAGAACAAAACTGACTGTCTGCATAGCTCAGAACAGCAGTAAAAAACCAAAAGTCCCCTGAGGAATCTCTGAATGTGTCACTTTCAAATGAAAGATTGAAATATAATTCATCTATTGCCACATGACACATCAGCTGTGACTTCATTTCCATTACTGTGTCTTTCAGGGACACGTTTCTGTGTCTTGTAGGGAAGTCTTGCCTCTTTTCACAGAAGTAGTGGCATCAAATGTGATCATTGCTAGTGGTTCCAGTAATGTCAAGGACAAGGTTTACCCTAAAAAAAAAGATGGTGTTTACCCTAAA